CGTTTTAACCGCCATTCTGATCGCAAGACACTCCTCTACAACTTTACTTAGGCATCGAAAAGAGGTTTACTTAGTAAAAAAAACTTTTTCTTTGGGAAACTCCAGATTCCAAAAAAGGCAAAATTTACATAGTAAACTTATCCCCAATATTTATTATGTTATTTCACTGGTTCACTGGCGGATCACGAATTAATTATTAAATTTGGTCTAGCCCAGCCTGCAATTATAAAATTTTAAACCCAGCCCGGCCTGCAATTACAAAATTTAATTGTTAAACTCGACCTAGCCTGCAAACTGAGCTGAGTTGGGCTGGGCTGGGCCAGATTTTAGAACCCAATGCAGGCTTCTACTTGGCTCTATATATCTTATTACTTTTAAAAAAAATATACTTTTTTAAAAAATAGAACAAGATCTATACTTCTTATTATTGCTTACTTGTGTTTTCAACAAAATTTTTATAAAAAGTAGTCAAAACAGTTTACTCTCATTAAAAAATTAACAATATTTACTTCTTTCTAGTAAATTGTAACTATATATTTTGTTTGTTGGCAAATATAATACTATTTCATATAACAAGATCTTTGACTAAAAAAATATTCAAAAATAGTTATATAGTTAGAAAAAATTTGATATATTAAGGTAAAACTTTATATATATATATATTTTTTAAGTAATCTTGCTTTTATTTATTTTGTAAACTACTATAAGATTATTATACAAATAACAAGCTATAATATAGTGTTCTGTTCTAATAGAAATTTACCAAGCAAATATCTAATACAATCTGCTATAATAACTATTAGTCTCTTCCAGGATTTAAAACTAACTTTGAATTTTGTAACAACAAAGATTACTTCCAGGATCATTGTTAGGTTGTTGTATACTATGTTAAAATTTCTTTTTTTTCTTTTAATTCTTTTTTCTTCTTAAGGAGTATAAGACAAAAGGTAAAATTTTTAATAATAAACAAAACAAAAATAACCAGAAAAAAAAAACAGAAAAGAAAAAAAAAACACTGATTTCAAAAAAGAAAAACAAAAAAGAAATCTAAAATCTTAAAGGCACTATTATAATCTGTACAAGACTAATAAAAATTATATAACAAATGCAATATTTATATATCTCTAATATAAAGCTTTGTTTTAATATTAAATTTACTTTTTGACACTACAACCAACTCTGGATAATTTTGTTGTCTGTTCTAATCTATATCTTGAACATGATAGTGCCACTGTTTAAGGACCTATATTTCAAGCCACCTGCTACCATAATTAGAGTTTCTGAACTGAGTACTATGAAGTAGCACTATATCTATCTATAAACAAACATGTGATTACAACCTATTGAACTTTTAAGTTTGGTAAATAAATAATACTAATTTTTTGAAGAAGATAAACCAAATCTTTCACTTTTTGCAAAAAATTTTGGAAAATCAAAAGGAAAATCAAAATAAATAAAAAAGGAGTCACTTAACTAAATAAAAAAGTGCAGTTTGAGAAAAGCAAGTTCTTCACAGTTTTCTAGTTATTTTGCAATAGAAAACTTTATCTTTATTGACAAAGAAACTCTTTAATCTCTACTAAAATTTTATATATAAGGGCATATACCTCCTGCTAGTTATCTTGTATAAAGATACTTTCAGTTTGCATCTTAAATATATAGAGAAGTCTCTTCATAGAAAAAAAAAATTAATCTTTATAAAAACTGCTTTGTTGTCCATCTACTACAGGTCTTATTAACTCTCTAGTATCCAAATTAGACTTTTGTAAAAAATTTTGAACTAAGTAATTGTTAGAAAAAGTTTTTGTTTATATGAATATAGATAAAACTTTATATATATATATATTTTTTTTGACGATCATGCTACATGTCCTGCTTTTATTGATCATATATAGCAATCCAAAGAATTTTTATATTACATCTTATTACTGGAATATGACTCACCTAGTTACCTATATAGAGTACTTAAGTATTCATACACCTGTGTGCGACCTGCCAAAGATGATTTTAATCTCTCCGGTTTGATTCAATCTACATCAAGCCGACCTACTCCGGTTCACTGACCTGGTTTATCAGCCTGTCATGATTGTCTTCTTTCCCAACCTTTTTTTTCTAGCCTCCTAGATAGAAGAATTCTACTACAAGAACAATAGGAAATTTAAAAAAATAAAAGGAAATACAAAAAAGAGGAAAAATCTAAACTAAACAAACCAAAAAATATACTCAAAAGAAAAAATAAAGAAAAGAAGAAAAAAGCTGCAAAAAAGATGACCATGACAACACTATTATTGCCTGTGCCAGGCTGCAGAAATTATATAATGTTGCGTAGAAAAAAAAATCTAACCTAACACTATATATATTAAAAGAAGTAGAAAAGAAAAGAAAAAACATCTAACTATAAGAAATTTCTACACATAATCCCTCTGATCCCCTATATTGTAAACAGTACCGCCATCATTGTTTATTTGGGAAAGCAGAATCCAAATAAGCTTGTGGGAGGTTCCATTTTGATAGACGTGTCCTAATTTAGAAGAAGTAAACACTGCTGATCTTTTGGAGGAGGTACGCCAGGTTTTCTACTTTTTGACCAAAATTTCTAAAAAAAATCCAAAACTGTAGAAATATGGTGAAAGGTATTTGTAGTAAGTACTTTTAAAATTTTTAAAGAGAGTGTTGGAAGTCCAGAACTTTTGTTGTTTCCCCTGTGTTCTTCTTTGAAGTAACAGCCCTAGTGCTTCGTCGACGAGATAGAAGCCTACTATGAAACTTTCTCTCTCACCAAGATTTTTTATACAAGGGCACCACCTGCCAGTTATCTTGTATAATAACGCTCTTGGCTTGCATGCTGAACATTCTTTTAGAGAAGTCCTCACAGATAGTTGACCTCTAAACAAACCACAACATAAGGCCACATCTCTCCAACAAAGGTTGTGTTTTTCCATTAGCTGAAATTTTGATACAAGTGATTGTCGGGGAGAGTTGTTCCAATATTTGGTAAAACTTTATATTAAAAATATACAGATATTGTATTTGTTATATAATTTTAAACTGAGTATAAGTTACAATAGTATATTTTAAATATATATTTTACTTTTTTTATTTTAGATTTTTTTGTATATACAGTATTTGGTTAGCTCTTGGGCTTTTTTTTTTTTTTTTTTTTTTTTTTTTTTTTTTTTTTTTTTTTTTTTTTTTTTTTTTTTTTTTTTTTTTTTTTTTTCTTTGTTTTGTTTTGGTTTTTTTTTTAACATGTTTTTTGTTTTTTTTTAGTTTTTTTTTTTATATTAATAATATGAAAATTTTAGTTTTTTTTGCTTGTAATAAAAAAAGAAAGATTTAAAGAGTTTAGCTTATAACAAAGCTAACAATATTTTTTGCTTTATCTGTAGAGCAGTACAACAGGTTATATCTAGCTACTTTTGAAGTAATTAGATAATGCTGAACATTGCTTTTTAGCTTAGATAATCCAAACATGTATTTTTTTATATATATGTAAAACAAATTATCTTTTAATAAAGATACTAACAAGACTGTCAAAAAGAAAAAAAATTAAAAAAAATTAAAAAATAATGATAATGCTAATAATAATAATAATAATTATTATTATTATTATTATTATTAGTTAAAATTAATTATAATTTTAATTAAAAATTATAATTAATTTAATAAATAAATTAATCAATAAAAAAGTGTCTATTTTAGAGAATTTAAAAATTTTATAATATTAAATAGAATCAATAAGAATATACTCTAGCATTGTTCAAAAATCACCAAAAAAAAGGTATATACATACGTACGTACATACGTATGTGAAGTCATTATAAATTTTACAATTTTGTTCTAAAATAGTGTCCACAAAATTCAGATATTTATTACTTTCTGTTGTATACTATATATATACTTTTGCTACCACATACAATAAACTATATACGATTTTTTAAGCTTAATAACTAATTCTCGTTTGTTTATTCCAGACCATCACATACATCCCATATAAACATATTATCATAACATTTATTTATAATATATACAGTAATCTTTTTTTTTTAAGTGTCTTATTCTTGTTTAAAAAAAAACTTACAACATAACATAATAGAGAAAAACGGGGATAAATTATAAAAAAAATTAATTCATAGAACCATAAAGTGTATCATCATCATAAAAAATATCCATTAGCTGGTTATCGTAAAAATATTGTCCGCCAAAATAATCCATCGATTGATTGTGATCGTGATCGCGATCGAAATGAATTTGCGATTCCATAAGTTGCGAATTATTTTGTCTATTACGGTTGTTCGATCCCTCGCCTTTATTATTATTACGATCGCATTTCTTTCGAATTCTTTTCCCTTTTTTGAGATTACGCTTTGGTTTTGTCGAAGCATCTGAGTAAACCAAATCTTTTATCCGTTCTTCATTCAGCTTCACCTCGACCTCATCCGCAATCCTTTTATACTCAGTCTTAACCTGTTCAGTTTCGTTTTTCCAATATTTGCTGACTAATTTAGATACATAAGTCATTTGATAGCGTTGATTTGAACGTGAAAGTTGGTCAAAACACGCTTTTCTATAAATAAAGAAGGCATTTGGACTTTTAGACCGAATTCTTGAATGAGGACGTTTTTGAACGATTTCAAGAGCGGTAATCGTAGGTGGAAAAGGAAGCTGGATAAGAGGCTCTACTATCATACAATTCAAATCAAAATTGGGGCACTCAGGCATTTTTTTTTTTTTTTGAAATAAACCGTAATGTTGATAAAAGTGAAGAATAAAACGAAATCAAAAAAAAAAACAACGTAGAGCCGAATGAGTCCAAGTGAGTCTAGAAGAAAATTTTTACCAGTTTTTATAATTTACGACTAATTATAATTATGCATTTTACATCCTTTTGTTTCTTTTCTTTTTTATAACATGGCCATAGAATGCATTTTGCATCTAATATTCCATGTCACGTGACAATATAAGAACTATTTCATGATATTCTTTTTTTTTTAGTATGCATGAAAATAGACCAATGTTCTAATTGCATATTCAATCGTAATACCAAAAATACGCGTGTTCACATATATATATAAGCAATTAAAACGTATTATATATCTTAATATACAGTAATAATGGTATATTTTTGGACAATTACGGCGCGTAAATGCAGCCGCATCAAGTCACTAGGCCATATTTTTTTTAGAGCAATTTGCATATCTATTGTTTTCCTTTTATTTTTTTTTTCAGGGTCAAAGTAAATATTTGTGCAAAGATAACGTTTGATAAAACCAAATACAATCTTTTTCGATCCAAGCAAGGTAATTATTTTCACAAGCTTTGACTTGCACGACATCAACAAAGTCTGCAATTCGAAGATTAAGAGTGAGTCAAACCGATAAACGATTTCACAAATGTATGTAGATACTTACACAATATATTTTGTTTCATCAATAAACTTTCGTATATCTAAAGAAATTCTTTTATTGTACACAAAATTCTTTTAGAAGTTATAAAGTTAAACAGATAACAAAGAAAAAGAACTTATAACAAGGAGCTATCCTTAATTTGATTAAAATTACGCGTTTTTGTGAAGCATAGATATATGTAATAAGATAAAACCTGTTATCATATATATATGAGTCCAAACACAAATTATTTTTAGTATTTCATTTTTTTAGGGAAGTGCTATTTATTACGTAATTTCTTTTTATTAGGAGGCCAAACACCTTTCCTGAGTTAACGGCTAATTAAACCGTTTATATATAACATATAGACTTGATAGACTGTTAACTTTCCTCTTACAATTACGTAATAAAACGTCACTTCCCTTAGATACAATTATATTATACAGTATATTAATGATATTTCCCAACAGTAACGTTATATTGAGAGGCAGTGTCACAGTTTAACAATGAAAAATTAAGTTAGAATCAGTTGAAAATTAGAGTTAAAATATTACAATCAAATGATATTTTTGACATACTCAAAGTTGCTTGGACGCCCAGTTTCATATTTTCATGGTTTTCCATTTTTTCTTGATTAATCAAAAAACTACATCGCTTCAATCGGAAAATAGAGTCTAAATTGCTCCGTTTCAACCGGAAAATTAATAAGAAGAATCCCCTATCTATTGACTATTACTCACATTATACATTACGCGTAAATTTTTGCTGTAGGATGATCATTAGATTAGATTGTTTATGAATTATGCATAGTCAATGCGACAATTAGAACTATATTAAGCACGGTACAACTTTATACAACTTTACATACTAATTGTCACATCTGTGATCGCTTAGGGCTGCAGTAGTAGTTTGGTTACTGCAATAAAAAAAATTTTTTCCCGGAATTAATTTACCGCACAAAGACTATAAGACTTTGTAATGATAATTTGTTAGCATATTGCCCTTTTCATCTCCGAACTCCGAAATATTAGTTGCAACTTTACACCGCCATGCAGAATATTTACCTGTGAGCAATCTGTAATTGATCTATTGAACTAGACTAAACTGTATTAAACTATTAAACTAAATTGTAATTTATATTGCAACATATTTCAAGTTTCATGATAAATAGGATGATGTGAGAGATAGATAATTCATTGCGTTTTACATTATAAACCGGTTTGACTTAACTTTTATATAAATGACGTCATAAGTCTGACACCTACGTACACATAACTATTTATTTGTAAATGAAGAAAGACTATTGATGCTAATTAGGTAATTAGTGAATGGACATAATTAATGATTTTGCTCTTATAAAAATAGTAAGACTATTATAAGATGTTTTTGAGCTTAACAATTGAAATTACCTTTAAGATCGAAATGTTATATTGTTTACTTATTGTAGAATTTATCTGTAATCCAAATTCGGATTTTATAAAGTGAAATGAAACTTTAAATAATGATAATTATTGATTGTACGTAATTTGACGTAAGCGTAACTTTAGAGATCACAGATTGTAAAAAAAAAGAAAAGGTAATAAATTTTTCATATTTAATGCGTGCATGATATACACGAGATCATTTTGCCTTACATAAATTTAAGTACATGCTTTTCCATTCTACATGAAAGTAGTGTGAATTTATTTTGTTATCCGACTCAGGAAATTAAAAACCTCTAGATTTTATTACGTGATAGTTGTAGAAAAAGAAGGAATAAATTGATACCTTATCTACAGAATTTAAGAGATGCATTACCGCAAAACAAATCTGTAAATGCATATTGATTAGAATTAAATTAGTGCATTGAAACATTGACAAAAAAAGAGAGAGATGACTAAAGCACTCTCCAAAAGAGGGAAATTAAATAGTGCACACGAGAATTCACGTCACTTTATGGACAAATCACAACAAATCACTTCACCTGCAATTTACAGATTAGGTTACTTTTTATTATATTATTTTCACAGTAACGGGTCTACATCTGACCTCATGTAGTTTCCGGAATTTTGTGGGATCTTGGGAAATATTATAGCGCTTTGCAAAAGGATGTGGTCTCATGATTTTTTGGAATGATGATGGCGGAGAATCACTGAGATTCTAAATATACAGTAAAATCTAAATTTAAGAATCTAATTATACTATTATACTTTAATTGCATAATTAATCATTATAAAACTCATATAAACTTGCTTGATCTTTAATAATGATAAATATATTTATCCATTCTTTTTGTATCGAAAAATTATTTTTGTTTTCTAATGGATAATACCCAAGAAACAAAACTAACATATCGTTGAGTAACCTATTTTAGTTATCAAAAATTTTTGTGATAATCGAACCGAATGCTGTAAATCATGTCTTTATACGGGCATTTAAACTAAACTGGACAAGAGAACAAGTGGAATATGTTCGTTTAATAAGTTTCAAAGGATAGTTTAGTTCCTCATTTTCTATATATTCGCAACAATTTGTTTATAAAACTTTTACTAATATATAGAATATTTTCAACTTATAATGTCGAATAGTTATCATAATGTAGATAAATTATACGCTACTTCAAGTCATTACTGTATGCAAAAACCATTGCTAAAGAAATAAGAATATTATCTAATGAAATAGATGTTAAATGTATTTTATTTAAATTTTATGATTCTTTAAAATAACAAAAAATCTGTAAAATCTTCAATTCTTACAACATGATCTACAGACAATAAATTTTTGGTTTTATCTTAGAATTTATGAAAACAGTTGTAATTCACATATAAGTTCGATTAATTCGCCGACAAGTTTAAATTTCCGAAAATTATCGGTGAAATAAAGTAACAGCGAGTTAAACTTTGTTAATAAATTGAAATTGCTATCGGTAAAATAGAAGTGAACTGGGAACAACTTGCAGATGCAATGATAGTAGGATAGTTGACCCTTCTTGCCCTCTTTAATAGTGGATGTTGAGACTACATGTTTCAAATTGTCGCGATAGATTGGTTTCTCATGGTTGAATAATGTTCAATCCTATTGTACAGTACGTATTCCAAATTAAATTATCTTATTAAATCTACTAATTATAGTAATGCCATTACGGTCAGAAAAGGAAATTCTGCATAAACTTATGCAAAATATGCATCTCCGTAGAACCTTTTGAATGCTTTTAGGTAAATATACATATAGATATCTGATATTAGTAACGTACGGGAAGATCACATAAATGCCAGATTATGGGCAATTAAAACAGAAAGCTTTGTGGAATTGGAATATTTCCGTTTTTCACATGTTTAAAAATTTAAATGATGATAAATAACAATGGTAATTCAATCGAACTGTAACATCGGATAAATTGTTCCGTGCCATCAAGAAATCACTTACGTACGTACCGTAAGTAGATAAATCTATAACAGATAAGATCGTATGTACTGTACGTACGTACCGTAAGTAGATAAATCTATAACTGATAATTGATAAGATCGTACGTACGTACGTACGTACGTACATTCATTGTTTAGGTTTTATTGTGAATGTCATAAAGCATAAGATTTTATTAATATTTTTAAAGTAAGTTCTTAAACTCTTATTTTGACTACGTAAATCTTATTTTGATAACTGAAACATATATTACTTAAAATAATTCTTTTTTGGACAAAATAATAACAATACTTATAAAGTAACTTAATTACCATACTAACACAATCTTTATAAATTAGAAAGCTTATTTTAGTTATTGTCGTAAATTGACGTAATATAATAGGTCATATTTGTTACATCGTAAGTATATTGCCATGTATCAAAGGCAGGGATAGGCCAATAATATTGTGGTATTGGTGCGCTTAAGTAGAGACTTGAAATATTATCGGCCGAAACATTCGGAAATTGATTTGAAATCGGAGTTAATTCGGCACTTTCTTTACTAGCGTCTACCCGTTCAATTGGATTTTCATTTGGATTATCTTGACGCAATTCCATGAATAAACGATCGACATCACCCGCAAGTTTATGGTAAGCATCTTTAATATGGTTAGATTCTTTCTTCCATGATGCAGAAGCCATTCCGGAAATTTTAGCTTGCGTGACTTTATAATTTTTCTTTTTTAATTCCCTAGAAAACATTTTCCGATAAATCATGAACGCATTTGACGACTTTGATGGTTTTTTACCCTCTTTACATTTATGTGATAAAAAATCCTTCGGGTCAATAGAGCAAGGATAGGGTACGTGAATTTCGACAGAATCATTATTAATATTTTGACCGTTTTCCATCTTTTTGGAGCTTTCTTCGAATCTACAGCGAAAACCTGTGTTTTTATAAACAAATTGATGTAGCTATCTCATTCCTAAAGTGGTCTCACGGAAATAGGTGCTCCGCGTCATTTCACGAGGTCAGATTTTTAAAGTAAATTTTACATTCATGCAAGCATCAAATAACTTATTAAGTAATAAAAATAAGGTGTGATGAACCAATGATTAACTAGTAATATGTGACAAATTTATAAAAAAAATATGAATGAAAGAGATATTTCAATTTAATAAGCGTAAAGTCATATAATAAGACGGATAACACATTCCTTTTGTCGGATTTCTTTTCTCCTATTCTAGAACGTACTTCAAATCTCTCGAACTATTCTATCAAGCTTGTTACCCTTTGTTTTTTTTCTTGTCTTGTATAATTAATAAAATAAGAAATCAAGAGATTTGATATATTTGAATTTCAATGAATGAGTTTACGTTAAGCGCAACAAACTTCAATTTCTGGCCAATCAGAACCTGTAAATTCATCGCACAATAAAACTGACCTAAACTTATTTAAACTGATGGATTATTTTAACCGATTGACCAAGATCACTTGACCAATGATCATCTAGTTTTATTAACCATAATAAATTATCTTAGCGAACACGTTGGGACAAAGTACACTTGTAGAATTCGTATTATGAAGAGTAATTTAGTTTTAATTACATTTTATTTTAACTACTTGCTATAATGTTACATCAATTACTTTGGGCCGATCAAAGTGTGTGTGCACTTATAAAGGAAAGTGCATATCACTTGATAATTTATACGTATAATAGAACATTATATGCAATTGGTGGTACTGATAAAAGATCATCTCAAAGCATCATTATGTAACATGTGTACTCGCAGTTACATAATCTTATGATAAGAAAAATAAACGCATCTTTTATCTCATTTATATCATTTAAAATGTAAAACAAATAAGTTATACAATCACGTGACCCACGAGTCGTATAAACTTCGTATAAACTGGTAAAATAGTAACATCAAAAATGGTCAATCTCTAAAAAAAAAGCTCTAGAACTTTAATTAATGTGTATGAAATATCTAATGAAGTTGTTTTGAAAAGAGCTACACATGTATATGAAACTGTCAGACCAATTAACCAAGTTTTTTCCAGAGATGGACTAAATCCTAAATCAATTGTTTATTAAAAATTTATGCGAATTAATTGAAAGACGTGATCGTAATCCTTCATGTCCGCTTTAAGCATTTATATCTATTTAAAAAACTCTTTATGTTGTAATTGATTTAATTTTAATATAAATAATTAAAAAGTTCAGTAACTTCAGCGATAATAATAATAATGTATCTAATATTAATATATTGCATTATATTACATTAAATTCCTATTTCACTGCTATTACCCTATCCATTATCAACCAAAATCGTCTTAATTACCAATTAATTATTACTTATATATACAGTCGCACCCCTAAGTGCACACCCCTCGGGACCATAGTGAAAAAAATGCAAAATGTGCACTTAGAGGAGGTGTGCACTTAGGGAGATTAAATGTTATATGAATTGGGACCAAGCAGAGGCGTGCATATTAGGGGGGGTTTTTCATATACCGTGCACTTAGGGAATGTGCACTTAGGGATCTGACTATATATATATATGTATATTACGCTAAAAATAAATCAGGTACCGCGTCGACGCCCACGTCTTTTTGATCAAAGGCCAAGATATTTATCTTATTAATGCACATAATTTATATTGAATAATTTTTTTCAACCAATTAATTTTAATATATTGCGAATCAAAAATGTAGGGATTGGACTCGTACCCGGGTTATCGAGTTACCCGCGGGTCATATCCATACAATATATCCCCCTACATGTGTACCCCGGGTACTAAAACGAACAAGGGAAATACCCCGGGTACTCGTGGCGGATAAATACGGCATCTAGATTTTGTTAACCGGGTAAAAAAGTTAACTAAGTATTTTATATAAATGCAGTAAAACCTCCCTAAATGCACACATTCTTCCATGGCTTCCATAAATGCGCTTTTTCTTATTGTTCTCCAAGTGTACATTGTTCTTGTAGGGTGCATTTAGAGAAGTCTGATTGTATGCAGTAAAGCCTCTATAAGTGCACATCCTCTCTAAATTCACGCTCAAATTCTGTTCCAAATATATATGTTCTTTATAATAGATCTTTTTTATTATCCTCTAAGTGTATATTATTAAAGTTTGGTCTCAAGAGCGTGTACTTGTAGAGGTTTTTACTATATATGTATTGTTATCACATGATAATACTTTAACCAATCAAATCATATTATTTACAAGAATTATATCTTATCCCGCAATTAATTTGCAGGTAGCCCGAGTTAGATTTTTTTTTTTTAAACATGTCCAATCCTTACAAGAATAATACCGTAAATGACCGTATACAAGATCCCCTAGATAGTAGACTCACTATGTACCATAATTTGTGGCAAATAGTACCCGCCAACCGTCAAATTTAGCGTCAATTTAGTCAAATTATATAGTCAATTGACGGTCCCATGGTACTATACTGGTACTATTCAATTTTTAAGGCCTAGGAATGTACGAGACCCGGTACTATTTGCTGCAAATTACGGTACTATACTCAGGCCGGTTTTGATATTAATGCCGGCCAGAATAAATTTAGCCAGCATTAAGGTTATTAAAGGGAGGATAAAGTTTTGGTAAAATGTAAAAGACCCGGGTATACAAATGAGAAAAAACTACTATGAAAATAGAATAAACCTTCCAATTATCAGACCCACACCCATACAAGAGATTCGCGAGTCTAATTATAGGTTTAAAAATAACAAACCCGAGTCTTGTATCCGGCCATTTTCAGTATTTTTTATGATTAATAATAAGTGGGTATTTTTTTTATAGTTTCAAAGTTTAATATTAAATAAGAGTGGTATTAAAATTTATAGTTATTATTTTGATGTTATTTTTATTATGAATGTAATTATATACAGAAGACTATAAAAGTTCATATACAAGATCCTCAAAATAGTAGACCCACCATGAATTAGACCCGGGTATGAACCACAAAATCTTTATTAATTAAATATGTTTTTTCAAATACAGCCAGACCTCTCTAAATGCATTGCGTCGGGACTAGAGGTGCAGATGAATCGTCCTAATGATGCCGTAACTTTTTAAAATTGGATTAAACATGCATTTAGAGAGGTAATGCATTTATGGATGTAAAAATCTATAAGTATTATATTAGTTGGGCCCAAAAAAAGACGTACATTTAGGGAGGTTTTTCATAGATATGCATTTAGAGAGATCTGATTGCAAGTAGAATTCCTATTATAAATAAAAGCATGTATATGCTTTAAATTTTTTTTTCTCATGATTTAATATACTAGACTCTAGATCTACTAAATAGTTTAAAAGTTGGTAAAATAAAACAGACCCAGGTCTTGTATATGAACTTTTATAATATTATCTAATTATAAATTTATATTTGTAGCTTTTAGTATATGTATTATTATTATTATTATTTTAATGACATGTTATAGCATGTAATCTTTATTGAATCAGTTAACTAATATTAATTATTACAATTCTTAGAGTATATATATATTTATTAGCTTAATTGCTACCTAACAGATTTGATATAACTTTATATATTATTATTTATAGTTTAGAGTATTAAATCAACTAGAACCTGACTTACAAACTATCTGGTCCAAGTTGTAGAAACCCATTATACTATGTATGCTTATCTAATATTATTCTTATTAGTATTACAACTAACTATATACTTACCTATCTACTTCCTACAATACTTTACTAAATTATTTTAATTTGATTCATATTCTAGCTTTTTTCTATTTTTTTGCTCTCAGAATTGGTAACTATTGGCTAATAAAACTATGCAAATTATTCTTTGAATTCAACAAATTTTTTAAATATAACTTTGCAGTTACTACTTTACTCTTTAAAGTATTTCTGTAGTTGATATATTTTGTAGATAGATACTAATACTATTATACTTTCTGCAAATCTCAAATACTAACAGTTTAGTTAATGCAAATACTTGCTTGACTCATATTTTTGTATATTATAATACATGCATATATATTTTACAATAACTCAAACAGGTCTTGACTTACTATCTGTGACCTAAACCTACCAGACCCACATCATGTACTACCTGGATTTGACTAATTTGTACTCATTGCTCCCTTCTATATTCCTTGCATCTCTCATACTTAACATGGGAATTAGGATAGTGCTTTATAATTGGCAATAATGGTCAACACGTGAAAACTGACCATATTTTTGTTTTTTCGGCCTTTGGAATTGTTTATTAATACATATAAAGAAATGCTTGCTATTTTATAAACTTAATTCAATGGCCTAAAAATATGTGCATAATAACATCGTTTTATGAATAGTTTGGCATTATACAGAAATACATAGTATATTTAAGTCACAAATCAGGTGAACCAAACTAACGTTATGAATTTGCGACAAATTCGTTATATGGATCATTTCAATTAATCGCAACATCACTAGCAAATTACATTGAGGAGTTGTTGAGGGAGTTACTAATTTCGATAGATTAATTACCAAAATATACAATTATTTATTAAGAGAAATTTGAACACCCATATATACAGTATGTATGACTGATGAAAGTTTTAAAAGATCTACAGCGGTAATATTTTTTTGCTATATATTATATCCGACATTATCATAGGTTTCAGGGTGTTTGTTATGAACAAGTTTAGACACAAAAGGACAGGCCATGAAATATAATTTCAATTTGACAAGAAACTATTGTTCTAACTGAACGACATGATGATTCATAACCAGTACGGTACAACAATGCCATTCAAACTCTATACAAACAATATCCGTAACTTATGACATGTTCATAATCACTTTACATTAACATTTACATGTAAATAATTATTATACATATCACCATAAGCACAGTCTTCCGTGATCATAGTTTGATCGC